AATTATAAAATTCAAAAATTCACGAAGGCCATCAAACCAGATTTTGTCATCTTCTGTATTCTTGCGATTCATTATATGCTCATCAAAATAGTTAACAAATTCCAGCGATATCTCCTCAAAATCTAATTTACTATTACGCAAAACAAGTTTTGAATCGGCAGGAAGTGTTGTGTCTTTAATGTAATTCATATAAACAAGTTTTGAATCGGTAGGAAGTGTTGTGTCTTTTTCAATGTAACTCTTAAATTCATCACTCGATAGCTGTTCGGGAATATCTTTTCCAGTTGAGCGATCCTAATATAGACACTTCGTGAGGCATGCGGCTACTTGTTACGAATATAAAAACGAACCGTGTATATTCTTATTCTTACCAAAAGCTCGCGGACAACCGGTTCAGTCTGCTCGGTACCAGTGTTTACAACAGAATCATATAATAATTCAAGAGTTGACATGCGCTTGTAAACGAGAGCTTCATCTAACGGGCTCCAATCGCATACCTTTTTTCATTAATTTTTTGTCCCGTGAAAAGGAAAGGAGGAAAACGGAGATAAAGAATAAGAACAGAGGCAAACTGAGAAATAAAAAAAATAAAGCGATAAATGGATACCTTCAATTTGGCCAACATTGTTCTCATACATTCAAGAAAATAATGCGCATTATTATATTCTGATGGACTATTGTCAAGGTGCCCTTTTACCTCGTTCAAAGTAGTATACCATTTTGAATCATTAAATAAGGGCCATGCGTAAATATTTAATCCTCCCGAATAAAATCTGCTAATAAAATTAGCCTTCCCTTCCTGTGCATGCAACAGTTGTTATTAACAAAAATAATATATTATGAGGAAAGCAGTTCACATATAACCACAATCTAAACATTCTTACTCGACTAACGATATCTATAAGCTTTGGCTCAAATTCGCATTTAATTCCTTTTCTATCATTCTTAGGCACATCCTTGATGATTATGCATAATTTTCCCTGTTAATAAAGAGTAATGTTAACCCTCGGTTAAATAATGAAATATACCTTTTCTTCATTTTAAACAATTTACCCTGAAAATAGTGGAATCATTTATAAATCGATTTTCAACATCTTGGAAGCATTGAAACATGTCACGGGTGATTGAGACTTGACTTTTAAATAAAATCAAGTTACTTAGGCTCGCATTGAGTATGCTTAAAAGAAGATCTTTTAATGATAAAATCGCGATCAAATCATTAGTGAATTAACAAAAATCGATAAATCAGTGAAAAAGTTCTACCTTCTTGAGGTGTACGCTCTATGGATCCTAATCCTTCGAAATCAAATGCAGCGTAGATGGTACTTTCTGTAATCGCTGTTTCAAAAGATAATGTTAAAGATCACAGCTGTGGATCGAATTTTCATTAATATAATACTTGTTAATAAATAAGTTACACAGTGACATCCATACACCCTCGGTGCATCGCTTTATTTTATGAAAATATTAGTTAACGTGTAATGTGATTTTGAAAACCCTTGTGATGAATTAAATTATGGTAGATACAAACCATTGCTGATCCATCAAAGTTGGTTCCAACAAGCTTTAAAATTTAAGAATTAACATTAAGTATCGAAGTATTACCTATAGAAAGAAATAAGTGGATGAACCATAAGCAGTATAATATGTAATATAATTACATGATTGAGCATATACGATTTTCCGCAGCTTTGTTCGCCCATCGAAGACACCACCTTGACCTCTTTATTTTTTAGATGATTAAAGATCCCTTCATACCATCCAAAAGATATTTTACGACTCATTCTTTCCGTGTAGTCACAACTTGTGTCTTTTTCTTTCGGGGCATGATTTTCGGGTTCATCACTTCCATCATGCCTATCACTTCCATCATTTCCATCACCTCCATCACGTCCATCGTGTAATGGAAATAATCTATTTTGCTTAACCATCGCTATTTGTATGGGTATTAAACAGCAAAGCTACTTTGCAAATGTTTCAATTGTTATTATTAAATAACCATAACTTATAGATCACAATTTTTAGCTTTAACATCACAAACCTTAATAATCCATTCGCCGAATTGAAGCTCCAACGCATTATTTTCAATAACAACTGGATCAAATAAATCTTGATATCTTTTAACATTTACACGGAACTTGTTTAACAATCTAGCCGGTTTTTGTGTTGTCACCTTTATTTTTTGACGCATTGTACTGATATATTCATCGAAATTTTCATCTAATTCCGCGATCTGATTTGTTTCTTCGTTGTCTGATTCTTCGTTTTCTGATTCTTCGTTGTCTGATTCTTTGTTGTTCGATTCTTCGTTGTTCGCAAGGATCTCTGGAAATATTAGCAATCGTGGTGCTTTACTTGTGCCATTGTCAATACAAGGAGTGATGGGAAACTTTTCATACATGTCTGAATATACATCAATCAGACTGTTTGATTTTGGTTTCTGTTCGATTTTAAAAGTAGACCACTGATTGCTGTTCAGTGAATCTGAGAAGTGACCCTCAATTTTTAGTAGAGTAGCATTAATAATTTCCGTAACCAACTTTTTCTCGTTCATGATGCAGATATAATCTCCTTTTTCGATGTCACGTAGGAAGTTTGTTTCTTTCCCGATCATCTCGGAAGGGTTTTCATCTGAAGGCTTAATACTTCCAAATGAAGACCCAATAGTTTGTCTCTGAAATTTAACTTCCAGTCTCTCGACGGATATTTTAGCCAAGAGAGATTCAAATCTTCTCTTTTCCAAATCAACGAAGCTTAGGTGGATTTGCTCGTTGCAAAGAAGAGCGAATTGGCAATAATTCGCTGCGTGAAGGGAAAATGATGATGGCAATACAATCACTATAAGGGAGCAAAAGCGTTAATTAAAATTTAGAACTATTAAATTTTAGTCTAGTAAGATAAATTGAACTACCTTTTTGCGCCGGTGATTCAAATCTAGGCGCGAAATAAATATGGGCTTTTAGCTGATCACTTGATGGTTCTGATCCGGCTTCACTTGCGAGTGCCACAATGCACAAACCATTCGGTGCACTCATTACATTAATTACATTACGTGGCAATTCTATAGTTCTCCGTCGAAATTGTTTTGTTTTGAGCCCGAGAATTTTTGCATCACCACTTTCTTCGACAAAGCATAGGTCTTCTGATCCATGAATAAAAAAGATTTTCTGAATTTCAGATTTAAAATTAACGTTAACATTCCTGATAACTGAATGTTGACAAATGACCAATGATGGGATTTCCTCGAACCCATAAATGGACAACTAATACCGATAAAGATAATTTAGTTATGTTTAATGTTGACATGCGAATAGAAAAAGCAAGATCTTACAATGGAATTTGTGACTTCGTATAATGCAATGTAGCCCGAGGCTCCATCAATAGCTATCAAACTATCTTCTTTAAGACCCGGAAAACTCTTAAGAGGCATCGGTTCAATAGAGCCAGAACGACTGACATAAAAATCGAGTGATTGTTTTCTTTTGTTCCAGAAAAAAATGAAAATGATTCTACTATTAAGCTGAAAGAGGTATCTTTATACATGTAAGATCATATGCATCATTAGAATGTTGATAGTTAATTAACAAAATACCGAATGATAGATTTGACGACATTACTTTAGTTCAATGAAAGATGGGTCAAACGAAAAATCCATCCTTTTCCTTAGGTTTAGAGTTGGAACATGATCTGGATTCTCACGAACCATTTCAGCTTGATATGTGTCAAGTTGAGTTTCATAGATTGTAATTTTAACCTGAGGAGGAATTTCCTCAACACACGCATATCTCAAATTATAATTGTTTCCTTTTATTAAAATATAAGTGATAAGTCAAACTCAGTACAAGTGATGTAAAAAAGCGCGATACTAGACATTTAGCATCATACCTGGTGTTTTAGTAAACGATTTGACTACCAATGAGTCTGGGCTGCAAAATTTATAGACTATAAATTAGCGCGAGTATAGTATTAAAATAAATATTGCACACCGAATACCTGTTAAGATTAGATGTCTGTCGGATTTCGTTACGAATTCTTAAAAGGTATTTTTCATTGATTTTGGCTGTCTTTTCCTTAAACTCTGCTTGAAGATTCATCAAAAAAGACTGAACCTTCTGAGAATGTAAAAGATATTCATGTCGCGAGTATTCTTTACGCAGCTGATCTCTCCAAACAGTGTATTCCTTTAGAAACATGGTTTTTACTCTCTCACTCACTTCCGAATTTTCGCCTGTGCTAGAAAAGTGTTGAACAAATTGTTGATCTGGCATGTCGCGGATTTCCTTCAACGCATTTTCATAATCTGAACTTAGGTCATTATTCGAAAATTTTTTTAAAATCTTTGTAGTATACTGTCTAACCGCATTTTTTTTATCCTTTGTTAAATTGTTATAGATAAATTCATCGCCGTTTTCAACGGATAATTGGTGTCTCTTAATTATGGAGCCGCTAGCCAAGTAGCGTTTCTTGAGGAGCTTCCAATTTTTTGAGTCGATATTTCCAACCTTCTGTTGCAATTCAGTAATCACATCAGGATAATTTTCATTAATTCTGTCAACATCTATACAAAACATTCAACAGAAGTTAACACAACGTTTGAATATCAACGTACTTAAAGTCGATCATCTACCTTCTTGAGTATGTTTATGTTCATCTTTTCCTTCGAATGAATTTTCGAATACCCTAGTGATAACACGTTAGATTAGGAATTGGACATACCGTACATATAAAGTGTACTGTACATTATATGCTAAATACATACTCGTATGTTTCACTTAGTATATATATGAGTATTGAAAAAAGGATATCTGCATCGACTTTAATAATATTATCGATACCCTCCTTTCCTTTCTCGTGATCTTTACGACTCATCTCCATTTCATCTTTATATGTTTTGATTAGATCGCCTTCTATAGACAAAAATTCGGCCAAATCTATCAACTCAGCTAAAGGAACGGACGAGTCTATTCTCAGATTATAATTTCTTATTTCATTAAGGGATACGCTGGCATGACCACTCGGCTTATGTGTTTCCTTGGTTTCGATCACATAGCTGGTGATAAATGATTGGTTACAGCATGACTCTATTGGCATGGCAGGAGGAAGGTTCGAGGGCAGAGATAACTCATCTTCTCTAGAGTCCCTATTGTCGAATTTAAGCTTTACAAAAATAAAATGAATAACACTTATGTATCCACCTTATACTCATCGTACCCCATTTAAAAATGAATCTTTGCTTACCTTGAATCCATCGTAAAAGTTAAAATCTTCTTCTTCTTGTTTTTTTTCTTCTACCTTATATACACAACAGACATTATCGTCCTCGATCTCCTCCTCCTCATTATTCCTAACATATCTGTCCAGGTGTTCAAAGTCAAAGGTCGCAAGTTCTTGTGCATCCATCAAGCAGAAATGAGTGTTCGTCAATTCTGTAAGATATCTAGGAAAGATAAAAACAAGAGATTTTTTTTAATAATAAGGATAAGATGCATAAATTCCGTTATTAAATTCTTATATAACCTGTGAAGATTCACCAGATTTCTCTTTTTTTGGGAGGGATTATTATTATAGCAACCTTTTTCAGGCCAATGGATAACAAAGCCATATTTATTTTCAACTAGGAGATAAATTCCAGGTTTGAGATGGGACCTCATTGACTCAGAATTCTCATCATCATTCGTCGTGAGCAGATCATGACTAAAACAAAGTCACGTAAGTGATTAAATAATTCTATGAAACCGTAGCCAAGAAGAATGTATATGAGTAAACAAACATTTTTTCATCGATTGCATTCTTTTGTAGTAAATATCTCGCGATAGTTTCACGATTTCCATAAATTCCGACAAGACCAAGTGATCTCGAATTCAAAGAGGCGTAATTAACTTCAGAAATTGATTTAAAGCTATTTGGTACCATATCGTTGCAAAGTTTCCTCAAGAATTCTTGTGATATGATAATCTTGTCAACCGCTAAATCGAAAAAAAAAATTACTTTGATGTTTACTATTGATTATTTGCGGAAACAAATAAACCTTACAATATCCGATAGATCCCGTGTCTTTGCACAAATCAAGCAAGCGATATAAATTGGGAATTTTGTTACAAAGGTCCAGAGGATTATATACGTCTGATGTAGCATCAAAACTTTCAACTCTCACAGGATCATTTGAAGGAGTTTCAGAACTATCGGTGCAATTAATTGCATTCAAACTTTCTACTCTCATAGAATCATTGGATGAGTTAAGGTTGTCTGTAAGATTAAATGTATCAGGTTCAACGTTTTCTTTATCAGATGTTGAAGTAAAAGTACTTTTATCAACTGACACAAGGGAATTTATTGCTAGGTCGTTAATTAAATATTAGGCTTAGAGGTACAATCATCATATTAAATTAACCAATTCATGACGTCAAACTGAATACCATTTACAGTACTGTATACATTAATTAGCAATTCTCTAAGCACTTGCAATATCCAAACTACATTACATATTCTGTAATTACGCGGACTATATTATTTCATAATCGCATACCTGAGTCTAGCAGAGTTTCTTTCATATTTCTTTTTCTTTCTTTGAAAGATAAACATAAAAAATACTTCCTCGTTGCTTACTTATATACATAAATTAAATGACGATAGAATTGTAAAAATTTTAAGTTGTCAAACACGTATACCGATAACCAATTTTGGAAAAAAATCAAATGACGATATTCAATTCTGGAACAAAAATTTAGATTACTGGAAATGATATCCAATTTTGGAACAAAAATTCAAATTTGTCAAACATACATATCGATATCCAATTTTGGAATAAAAGTATGCTGTAAATCAAAATGATAAAAATTCACATTTGTCAAACATACATATCGATATCCAATTTTGGGATAAAAAAAATGAATTGCAAAATTTCACTGCTTAAAAATCACTACAGTATCACACACGTGTGTACTTTCTGTTTATCGTTCGGAGAAGCTTGTAGTTTGTAAATCCGAGAGGAATTCTTATTTTCCCATAACAGGTTATATGAAATTATTTATGCGCTAAAGAATTTTTTTGAAATTATTAATTTACTTCACTATAGTCGCGTAACCATCAATAAAACAGTTAATTGTCGCTTTTTTTTCTTGGTTCGGAGCGCTATATATAAAATCTATCTATTCTTGCTTCGCGATAAAGAATAGAAGAGAAAGACAATCAGAAAAATTTTCTCATCACCTGCGAATCATTTGATTATTATTTCATCATTCATCTCTATACTCCTAACTTTAAAAAATTCTCTATTATGTGAGTGAGAGGTTTTATCACTTTACGAGAAAATTGCGTACCCGGAATCACGATTCCGCATGATATTAGTAAATTTTTCATACTTGAACGTACAAATAACGTACAAATGGGAAGAAATCTTTGATTGATAATTATTTTTATTACATATATATCATCATGAATACATTTGCGTAAATATTTTTATATTTTTATGAATAAAAACACATGAGAAGGTTACAAAATTAAGATAATGCTGTGCATAGAATTGAACGTGCGTATACTGTAAGTAGACAGATTACAAAAAGTAATAGATAATAGAGTATACCTACATGCACTTTCACCTAAAGATCCTACTTCGATCAATTAATTAATTACAAATCAATCAATAAGTCGATCTAGCAACAGAAAATAGAACTTAAGGTTAGTAAATGTCAAAGTTACGCGAAACCCGAGTCCAAATGCATCGCGACTTATGAGTTAAAGCTACAAATATACTATATGTAGTCACCCACTTGTCAAGTCACCTCATGATCATTTTTTATTACTAAAAGGTTTATTAATAGTTTTAATAAAGTTTGTTTTCGTATAAAAGAGGCTTGCGTTATATTGGAAAAAAAATTTTTTTTTGACACATTCTAATGAATTAGTCTATAAGTTATGCATAGATCATTTTGATCCTTTGATAACAGATACTTTTTGACAAGACAGGCTCAACCCTGTAAAGTGGGTGACTTGTTATTTACAGTGCTGGCAATAAAAAACTATATTACAAAAAACTTTTTATTATATTAATATTAATATTAATTAAAAATAAATATTTTAATATTTTAAATAACAAAAATTTCTTTTTAAAATATTAATAGAAGTACATATAATTTTATTTGAAATTCTTTATTCAAAAGTCAATAAATTTAAAATTTTATTAATTATTGAAATAAAAAATAATTTTAAAAGGACTTTAGAATTCCATGAAATTATAAATTATAAACAAATCAACTTTTGAATTCTTTAGTCTTGTATAAAAAATATTAAAAATAATTGTTTGTTTTTACAACCGTTTTTTTTAAAAAAACTTTATTAGAAGATAATCATGATAATTTTATTTAAAAATATTAAATAAAGTTGTTAACTAAATATGAATATTTTAATATAATAATGATTTAAATATTTAAAGAGATAATTAAAAAATAATACTACATATAATATTAATTAATTTATAGCTTTTTTAAATTCTAAATTATAATATCAATTAAAATATTGATTTTTATAATTACCAAAAAAGGGTTTTTTTTATAAATATAATTACAAAAATAAATTATATTTTTAGTTAAAAATAATTTTTGTTTATTATACCTATAGTTAAAATTTTTTATTTGATAATTGTAAATAAATTTAAAATCACTCTTATAATAAATTTATTATTTAAAATATTTAAAAAATCAAAAAATCAAAAAAATCAATTTATTTTCATTATAATTTTATAGAATTAAAAATTTTTAGTAAAATAATAAAATTATAATTTACAAAATTTTTAATATTTGGATTTAATAAAAAATAAAATAAAAAACAATAAATTTTAATAAAATTATATATACAGACAAAAAAAATTCCCGGCTACCACTGTATCTGGTTTGACGTGTCTCCATCTCCAGATAGTCCTAAGTTTGTTATAGCATGACAGAATTGTTACTTTTACGAAATATCGGAAGCATCGGTCACTGAATTCATCAAATATTCATTCGCGACATCAAGTTCTCTTTCTTGTGTATCAAACGCACGTTTTTTCAGTGGAAAAGGCATAGTAGATTTTTGAACTAAATCTCATTTAGGAAAATTTCATTGAAAGGAAGGCAAGTGCTAAATTGTGATTTGATCAAACTTTATATGCGTTGTTGATATTTTACGACCGTTCACGTGATTTCGCAATGCGATCTCATTAAATATTACGCGTCATAGATTTCTTTCGTATCTTATTACTTCTAGTGCTCAACTAAAATCAGGAGCGGAATGACCTGCTCTTAACACTGACCTAGCCCTCACAAGTGTAGTGGAATTACCTGCCGAGTCTGTGAATGATTTTGTCTGAGTTACCGTCCGCGCCATGGAAGTTGTTAAACCAGGAACGGAATGATCTGTTCTTGATATAGACCTAGCCCTCACAAGCGTAGCGAACACAAATACTTGTAAATGAGGTTGATGGCGGAATTACCTGCTGAGTCTATGCATGATTTGCTCTTTTTTAGGGGCCGGACACAAAAAAAAAAGCCGTATGACTAGTATGACTTAGATAATGGTTTTGTTATACAAAGATAATGAGATAAAAAACACACATCAGAAGAGAACTTTTTTTTTTTGATTTTTTATGAGAATGTAGTATTACTCCTGAACAAATAGAAAATAGCTCTGATATAACATCTGATTCTGATACATACCAGAACAAGAATAGCCGATCCTCTACGTCTTCTATTCTGTAAAAATCACATCATCGGAAAATAAATGATTTTCTGGATAGTGTACATAAAGAAACGATTAGTGAGAAAATAAAAGAAAAGAACCAGGAAAAAAATCTTAAATGCTTGTGTTTAGCATTGATTAACGATGAAATCCGAAAAAAGCTTCCTGATAATATCGCCGATTATACATTATAAAAAATAAAGGAAAAATCAGGAAAATACATGATTTATTTGTCAGTATTGGCAAAGAAAAAAAAGATATATCATTTTTGGCATCAAAACTTTCAAATCTGAGTAAAGATAATATTGATTATACAGTATTGTTGTGATGAAAAATGATGAATCTGTTGCTTTGGTTTTCTTATACCGAGTAATTATAAAGAACAATGATTTTTTAAAAGAGGTATGTGTATTTGGTCAGAATTCTTACAATGATGCAGATTGACTCATATAATTTCTTTGATTGTAACTTGACCTCAAAATAAATATTGGACAATAATCTTTCTATTGCACAGTACCTATTATTATTAATACTTATTCTTGAGTATTTCTACATTATTTTTATATTTTTCTATCATGTATTATTTATATTTGATATCACCTGATAATACAGTATTTATTTAATTATTTTTTTGCAAATAGGCATTATATGCATGATTTTTATTAAACTTAAGTTTATAATCAGTACATTAACAATCTTTACAAAATAGTAGTTTAATTGTAGTCTATTGTAACAAATTAGTAGAACCGAATATATACTACTAATGCTTAATGGCTAATATCCATTCAGAAGAAAGATTACGTGGAAAGTGAAAAAATTTGTTTGTTAGTATTGAAATAATTTGCTTCTAGGATTTTGATAATTGTGTTAACACATTATTTTTATTTTTTGATTGTAAAGAATGTTGGTTGCTTTGATTTTTACCACTTTATTTCAGCTGAAGGTGAAATGTTGACTATTTCAGATCTTTGCTTTCAAATTTATGAAATATTTTTAGTAACTTGTTAACAGTGCTTTTTTTGTTTTTCCTGATATTTTCAAAGGGATTGGAATATATTCCCAAAGCTATTTAGAAAATATAATAACCTGTAATTGTAGTTGTATTAATAAGGTGAAGTGAATTAGTTGCTGGTATAGTATTATTAATTAGACTTTGCTAAATGAGATTTATAAGTTTTGGTTTTTTCCTAATAAAATATCTGTTGTTATAGATATATCACAAAATATGATTTATAGTTTTTTCTTCTATATTACAGTGAGAGCATATGTTATCAGGATAAAGTGAAGAATATCTTTTGTATAATTTTGTGAAGAGTTAATTTACTATAAGTTTAATACAAAAGATAAAAAGTGATTTATATTAGATTTGGTTACTATTCTTGAGTTTTTTGTAAATTTTGATAATGGTTTCAAATTGTTTTAATAAACTGGACTTGAACTGGACAGTTTGATTAAGTATGATATTATAAATATTGATATATAGATTAATAAACTTAATTTGGTGAATTATATTAGTTGTATTTGTAATATTAATTAGAGATAATTGAAAAAAATAATAATGAAGCAATAATAAATAAAGACACATCGATTAATGTGTTAAGTGATACTTTGTATAAAAGTTTGATTTTGGTTCAAATAATAATAAAACTTTTTAAATTAATAAGATTATTTATAATACTGATATATTTACAGAAAGATATCATGTTTGTTGATATAATTAGAAATAGAAAGGTCTGGTATACAAGAAACTTTGCAAACTATATATGAGTTGGAGGTTAAATTGATAGTGACTTGAAAAAGTATTGGCTAAAAGTTGATTTACAAATTAAAATTGTTGATATATAAGTGAGGTGGGTTGAAAGATTGAATTCAATAATGTTTAAAAATATAATAATAATTATATTAGTAGGTTTCTGAAAAATACTTAAACTTGATTATATTATTATTTACGTTGAAATAATAATATTGAAATGAAAATAAAAGTTAATTCATTTGCATTATTAAGAAGCCTATATTGCTTATTTTATATTATTATTCATATTGATCTAAGTTAATTTGGATATTTGTTTTAAAAGCAGAATTAGATAATATAAAAATATAAAATAATATAATTCTTATATAAGTTCAAAATATGATATTTTCCATTTATAATTAGATAAATAATAGCATTATATATGGTTTCCTTATACTAACTGGAGCCATTGCTTGGTATACTTTATTATTGTAGAGATTTGCAAATTAATTATATATTAAATACATGACCACTGCTATAATTTCTAATTTAGTTTGTATATCGAACTACATTAAGATTTCTCCAAATATCAACTCTAAGTTTTTGATTTATTCTATAACCTGGGTTATATCAAAGGAACCAAAACTAGTGTGTCAAGACTCCACTAGTATGTTTAGCATCACTGCACTATTTAGGTTTTATTTGAAGGGTATTTTTAAGAAGAAGAGAAAGTAAGAAACTGGAAATAATATCTTTTTCTGATAAATAAAACCCTACTTAAGATTATCTTACAACTCTGTATCACCTGCAGCTGGCCTTTGACTATTTAATTCCTGCCTTCCTGTTATAGCTTAGGGATATTCAAGATACTTATAACTATAGATTTACAACCTACAGTAGTCTTTTATGGCTATTTGGAAATACTAGATGCCTTCTTGAGATAAGCAATACAGGGGTGGACTTTGGAATGGAACTTTGGAATAACCTTTTACAGAAAAGATACTAGATATTATAGGAAGTGATCACCAAACTATCTTGTACTAAACCGGATATCTCATATATCTTACAACTTCTGGCAATTATCATAGCATTAACTCAACAATTGTCACACCACTACACCTTTTCTGGAGATCACAATCTCAATGCCTATTGGATTAGTGTATAAATTGGCTTCTTATAAGAAACAGCACCTTTTATAGGTTATGGCACCAGATACCATATTGATTCTATTCAACTTTCTTCACCTGGAGTTGAATTAGTATCTTGTAATTTGACTTGTAAAGTGTTAACCACTATACTATAGACTCACAGGTCTGTATTATATATGGTTTTTATAAAATTTAAAGTATTGTTTACTATATAGCTCCAGAATCTGGATTGGAATTTAGAACTGAAAGTATATTACTTACTGTAGTTAATAATATATTTACAAGATTGATAAATCAAGTTAATGTAAAGTATTTGAAAATAAAGTTCTTATAAGTATAAAATTCTTTTCAAGAAAGTTTAATTAATTATTGAATATTAGAATATTATTAAGAGATTTAATATTTAATATTTAAGAAATATAAAAATACTATAGAACTAATTTTTTATTAATTTCAATAATTTGTACTATTGATGGTTCATAATTTAAATTATTAAATAAACATGGTATTAAACAAATATTAATAATATTTGATAGAGTGCTTACTACTTGTATTATCCAAGAGTTTTTGAAAAAGTATAGAAAGCAAATTGAACATATCTATATAATATATAAGACTTGTATTAATTTAATTTCTTATATTGTAACTTGATAATTAATAAGTCTTAAAATTTAAAATTTTATTACTGTTATGTTTCTTTTATTTTATAATTTAATAATGTTAAGATTTGCTTTAGAGTAAAGAACTTTGTTAGTAATTGTGTATTTAATATCTAATTTTGATTTAGTCACTTTATTAAGTCTAACTTAAAAGAAATTAATTTTGTTATCTGTTAAGAATAAGATATTGGTTATATCTTCTAGCTGTTGTGAGAAGAGATTTGTATTGTCACATGTATGGTTCCGAAAATTGGAATCGAATAGAATTGAATAGAATCGCATGAGGTTCAGAACACTATTAAAAATGATGGTGGGGTATACCCCACCTATTAAATTTAATATAAACTTGAGAATCGAATACAGAATCGAAGAGAATCGTTAGGATCCTTAGTCATATGGACTGATATCATAACAATTCCAAATCTCTAAAATTTGAGATATCTTTATTATAGTTAATTTATTTCTTATATGTTTTTTTTTAGTTATACTGTATGTCTTTTCTTGATTATAATAATTATAATAATTATAGTAGAAATAGTTGGATAATTAGAATATTTATTATAGTTGTTATAATTTTACTATAATATTAACATGTATATAAAGAAAAGGTCAAATCAAAAATAAAGGAGAAAAACTTCTGCAACAGAAACTAAGTAATAGTTTGAATAGTTGTTTTACCATAGATGTGTATTGATGAATTGTAAGTTTGTTTTGTAAAGTTTAAGAAAGAAATTCAAACCAAATTATTACACCTTAGTCTTAAAAACCTTAGTAGTGAAAAAGGGTTTGATTAGCTTCTTCCACTATATGGAAATTATCCAATAAAATATATGTTTAGTAATTAACTTATTTTATACTTTTTAAGTTGCAATAGCAGTAGTAAAGTTTTTAATTTTTTTAATAAGTTTATTTTTAATTACTAATATAATTTTGAAAATTGAAATAAAATAAACTTATATAAACTTACATAAGGTTTGAAATACTATTAAAAATCACAATAAGTTATAATCATATATTAAATTTAATATAAATCTAAGAATTGAGAATTAAATTGAATCAAATTATTAGAATTTTTAGTTATTAAATTAGAGAATTTTCCTGAAAGAAAAATATTAAGATATTTGAAAGCTTATATTTATTTTTAACTAGTAAATAGTTTTGTTTATTCGAATATGATAATTTCAGATTTGTGATAAGATCTGTTTTTTTTTTATTATATTTGATAGAATTTAT